ATTCTGTGATATCTCCACACCCAGGACACGGTGGTGGCTTTGCAAGCCCTGGCTAAATACGCCGCCCTGACATACAGCAGCAATGGGGACTTCACGGTGACGGTGACGTCCCCGACGGGCACCGTGCGGGACTTTGTGCTGGACAACAGCAACCGGCTGGTGCTGCAGCGGGTGGCTCTGCACGAGCTGCCGGAGATGTTCGGGGTGCAAACCCGCGGGCAGGGCTGTGCCCTGGTGCAGGTGGGTACTGCCCAAGGTCCCTGTTCTCCCACAGTGCCCATTTGGTGGCTCCAACCTTCCCATGTCACCCCAAGGTGACCCTGCGTTATAACGTGCCACCTCCTCCGAGCACGGGGATGTTTGACCTCCACGTGGAGACGAAGCCCAAGAAGTGCACGGGGGATGCCACCACCCGCTTCCATCTCCTCCTGAGGGCAAGGTAAGGGCTGGGGTTGTCCCCCAGGTTTGGGGGGACCAGGAGCAGCTGAGGAAGGAGGACAGACCCCAATCCCACCCCTCGCAGGTACACTGGGGAACGTCCTACCACCAACATGGTTGTCATCGAGGCCAAGCTGCCATCTGGTTACATCCCAGAGAAGAGCTCCATGGTGGAGGTAAGAAGCCCCCACTGACCCCCAGGACCTACCCTGCCACTGGGTCCCTGCCCCTCAGGGGCAGTGGGACACAGAGGGGCACCCACTTGGGGTGCTGGCCCCAGGTGGGGCACCCACCAACTCCTGAGCCGTGTCCCTGCAGCTGAAGAGACAGAAGCTGGTGAAGAAGGTGGAGGTGCAGCCTGACCAGGTGACGATTTACCTGGACCAGGTGAGACGGGACAATGGGGACAGGAGCAGGACCCCGTGTGCTGGGGTGTAGGGATGCTTCCACCTCACCCTTGGGCTGTCTCCCCAGCTGACAAAGGAGGAGGAGACCTTCACCTTCACTGCCACGCAGGACTTCCCGGTGAGGAACCTCCAGCCAGCCACCGTGACACTGTACGACTACTACGAGACGGGTGAGTCCCACCAGGGATGTGGCCCCAGGTTGTCTGGCCCCACTGCCACCCCTTGCAACCCTCAGAGGGGTCTGGCTGAGCTGCCAGGTCAAGTTAATGAGCTTTAGCTCGTTAGCAGCTCACCCCGAGCCCATCGCTCACCATCCTTCCCCTTGCAGGTGACCGCACGGATGCTGCCTACAGTGCACCTTGCAGCTCAGGTAGGGGCAGAGGGGTCACCCCACCATGGGGACACTGATGGGGACCCACCAACCCCAAAGGGACAACCTGGGCTGTGCTGAGCCCCTGGACCCAGGGAAGTAGGGAAGCGAGTGGGGATGGAAGAGCCAGGCCAGGAGCCCCAGATTGATTGTTGGGGACTTGCTGGCCAGGGCTTGGGGGACTAGAGGCCAGGGAGGACCCAGGTGTTGCAGGTTGTGGGGTGCAGAGAGGAGCTGTGGCTCTTCAAGGGGGCTCAGACCCCCATCAAAGCTGGTCCTCCTCCTGTGTCCCCTGCAGAGCTATTCTCCATAGGTTTGGGGTCACACAGGGGTATGAGACACCAAGCTCCCAGGGATGGAGCTTGGCTGGAGGGCCAGGGGCAGCCAAGGGGGTCGGGGGCAGAAGGTCTCCCCTCTCAGCACGCCCATATTTGATTTTGAAGAAGCTGATGGTCAGGAGCAGGAAAACTTCTAACCCAGCCTGAAGATTGGCAGCTGATCCCCTCCACTCACCCCGACTCCCTTGGCCACTGAGGACCAGGACAGCCAACAAGTCTCTGCTCCCACCCTGGCCACGGCCCCGACCCTTTGCATGGCTCACTCTGGACTTGGCCCCTTCTCCAGCCCCACAAGTCCCAACACCGAGGGGCTGATGCAGACCCACCAGCAGAGATGGTTTCCTGCTCTGCAAGCCCCCACCATGGATGTCTGAGTTTAAGTTGAGCAGCAAAGCGGTGGCTTTACAAGGACACCCTAGTACATCTCTGTTCTACCACCCTGAGGGAGCTCTTCTCCATACACATCAACAGGACCAAGATCTCCTCCCTCCTGTCAGACCAACTGTCCCTTCCCCAGCAGGTCCCCACCACCACTCCCCACATCTTGCTCTCCCTGGGAGTCACAGTGCTACCCCCCAGCCTCCTCCCTGGCACTAACATGGTGCCACTGTCACTAAGAGGGACCTGTGGACACCTCCACAATCCCATCAAAACAGCTTCAGGCACTTGTTGATGGAGAGGAGCTGCAGTTTCTCCTTGGGTCTCAATAAATGTATTTGCTCAAACGTGTATTTTCTCTTGGTCTTTCCTTACACTTGCAGAGTCCCCCACTGGGAGGGGGGACAGATGGACGGGTGGTGGGGACGGGGTGGCCGCTGGGGACTGTTGGTGAGGGCAGGGAAGGTGGATGTCACTGGGGATCTGATCAATGTCTATAGATATCTGAAATGTGGGGGCCAAATGGATGGGGCTGGGCTCTTGTCGGTGGTGCCCAGTGACAGGACAAGGGGCAATGGGCACAAACTGGAACACTGGAAGTTCATCACAAACTTAAGGAAAAACTTCTTCACTGTGAGGGTGTCAGAGCCCTGGGACAGGCTGCCCAGAGAGGGTGTGGAGTCTCCATCTCTGGAGATGTTCAAACCCACCTGGACACTTTCC